ATGGAAAAAAGTACTTGATAAAATCTCTGCAATAGTTTCTTCTTGCTTTGTTATTCATATAAGGGTTTTCTGTGTTTTGGGGTTTGTTGGTTCCTTGGGTTTTTGGTAGGGTTTGGGCTTTTTTTGGAAGTGTGCCTTCTATCATCTATAAAGCAAGCAAAAAAGGAAAAGCACCAAAAGGAAAAGCTAATGTAAAGGTAAATAAGGGGAAGGACAGCTGTGGCACACTTGTAGGACAGTAGCTTGACACAACCTTTTTGTAAAGGAGTAGTATTCCTTAATTTCTGAGTGACTTGTGGGGAAGGGTTTTCACAAAGCAAGCAACACAAAATTGATAGGAGCTTGGCAATACAATGTCTTGAATTACTAGGAACAAACCAGTGAGTTAAGATAGCTGGCTTATAGAAAGACATATGAAAAGCAAATAAATCTTTCTATAAAGATTTTTCAAAAAGCCTAATGTTTCAACATACTCATAGAAATAGGAGGTAGGTCTATAATACGTAACTCTCTTCAAAAATAAAGGTCTAATACAGGCCAAAGGGAAACGACAAGCCATAATGTAATTGTTCTATCTTTTGTAAGTCTTTCAAAAGTTTCATCTGAGTAGCTTTTAAAACATAACTTGCAATCGACAAATCCCACTGGGCTCCTATTTATAGTATCCTAATTTTCAAAGAAAGCAAATCAGGCAACTGTTTTTAACATGAATAATATTGCTCCCAGCACTCTGCCTCCAGCCCACACATTGTGTTTTTTGGCACGATCATGGCAATTAAAAAAAATAAACAGCTCTTTTTAATATTTTTTATACATAAGCTATTACAGTCAGCGCTGACACAGCTGGCAGAGAAACTCAGTGAAAGGTAAACATTCTGCTCAAAATGTAATCCAACATATTGTTGCGTTTAGTTGTTAAAATGTAATTTTCGTGAAAGACTATTTTAAAAGTAAGTTTAATTTTTTTATTTTTTACAGAATTTCTAGTATTTTGATATCTGATTACAAAAAAATCATAACCTTTTAAAGCAATGGCACTTGTGACACTGGATATTTCAGTCAACAACTTATTGGATTTTTAAAAATATTCTTAACAAAAATCAGGAATGAAAATTAGGGGTGTGATGCTTTATCCTTCAGCAGAATGTAATAGTCTGTGCTAGTAAAATCAATTTCTTTTAATAGAATTCTGTCAAAAGCAGGAAGTTCAGTAATAAATGTCTTCAACTGTTAAAAGGGAAGAAAACTTCCAGTAGAATTAAGATTAGTTTGTGACTTGCTTTTTGTTGCTTGACCTAATTACTACGAGCACGTATGCAGTGAGATATGGGATGATAAGTATTTCACTAGAAAAAACACATGAAGGTAAGGGACATAGGTAAATAATTATCTGTCACGCATGTCCAGAAGTTCTAAAGGTACTTTTATTTTTAAAAAACATGACTTTGTGTGGTGGCTTACGATTAAGATGCTGTACTTCCAGCATTTTACTCCCTGTTGGAGACAAATGCAGAGGCAGCCAAGCAGAGCTGGGTGCATGCAGGGTTCTGGTGCTCTTTATAAGGCTCGGGAGGTTTCTTAGCAAGAGCTGGGTGGTGCCTGTGTGCTGCAAACCCCACCTCTGCTCCAAACCGTGCCCTGGTGTTCACGGGACAGCTCAGTGGGAAGGGTGTGCAAGCAAACAAATGCAGAAAGCACCCAGTGGAACTGTTGAGGAAGCTTGTGGGCATATTATAGCTACATATGCTCCATGTTGTGTGGCAGGTCAGCAGGAATTGAGAGTCCTGGTTGACATTTGCTCACCTGATGTGTAAGAATGTGAGATGTGCTGGTTTGTGCTGCCTGGACAATGGAAGTGTCCACCATAACTTGTGTCCCTATCAGCTTGCCTTTAATTATGTTTAAAAGGAATTTCTTTAAAGATCCACCTTTTCCTTTCACTGATTACCGGTATATCCTTGGAATCAGGGTCTTCCAACTCCCAGTTGCTTCTCCTTTTCTCAGACTGAATTATAAAAATAGCAGGTATGCTGCAAAAATAGGTTTCTGCCCTTTTATAATCCAGTAAATTGCCCTCTGGCTGCAAAGTTGGAATATATGGATTTAAGTTTGTAAGAGCAACTGAACATTCATTTTCAATGTGTATAACATGAGATGAAGAGAAACATTTAAAGTTTAGAGCAACCTTCAGTAGAGAAGAAAATTATTTGGTGACTCCTATTGTTGATTTGGAATGTGTTTCAGATGTTAGGTGTGGACTTCATGTCACCCTCGGGGCAGTTAATAACAGCTAAAGGAGCATTATCTGCTGAAGTCAGTGGAGTGTGAATCCAGAGGCGTTGTTGTCTTCGTCTTGTCACAAAAGAAATTCAAAATAATTGTGCAGAAGGAGTGCAACAGAAGCATTCTGTGGTCTGGTTCTCCAGTCATTCTGATCTGTTACACCAGCAAATTTGTGGCCAGGACAATTGTGAACTAAAGTTGTGCTCTCTGACTAGGACAAGTACAATGCAAAAGATTTTAATTACATAGAAATTTCTTTGCAGTGAAGATACAATTAAAAGAAGAAGAAAACCTTTAGGCAAGTGGTAATCCTGGAATTGTTGTGTAACTAGACTTTCAACAACTGTGCTCTCTCTCTTCATGGAGATGATCATACCTGGCATTGTATCATGAAAAAAAACCCAAAAGATTAGAAGAGTGATGTATTTATTTCACATGAAGACTCAGTTGCCCTGATCTGATTCTCACCTAAGAAAAGAGGGGAACTTTTTCCAATGCAACCTAAGGTTTCAGTACAACCTAAACTGTTAGATTATGAGTATTTGGGGGCATCCCACATCAAGTTTTCTATTGATTCCTTAATCTGAATAGATATGCCCCACACAGCTGTCCCAATGGGCATGTTGGTGGATTTGGGAAGAGTCATATGCTCCTGACTGGGGCCAGGCTCTTGATGTTCTTACTGAGTTTCAGAGCAAACTCCTTCTCAAATGCAAACCCCAAACAAATGATGACTAAATGATGTGAACTATGTTGTATCAGTCTGTTGTGCTACAGCCCCTGCAGGACCTGGACAAATGAAAGTTTCACATGCCCCTATCTGCTGTTGGCAGTACATTTGGTTCAGGCTTTCAGAGCCATTGAAACATGTTTGTCTGCTCTCTGCTGGTGTTCTTAAAAGCCCACACAGGCCACAGGGAAAGGTCATCTATGGTGGGAACAGTCCTGATGGGCAGATCAGCTGTACCTCCTCCTTGATACTTCCTGCTGAGCAAGGTGGAGCTCCCTGTAGGGCTGCCCATGATGGACAGCAGGCTGTGCTTTTCAAGTCTAGCCCAAAGTCAACAGGAAAGGAAGTCCTATGCAATGAAAAAAATTAAGTCTTCTTTAATATACAGCAGTGTGATGATTTTTGTTATTATTATTATGGACTCTGAATTAGACCCGTGTGAAATGAAGTTGTAGATGTTAAATGCAAAAATATCTGAGATGACGTTACATCCATTTGATACAAAAGGGGTGGCAGGGTAACAAAAGAGAGAAAATGAAGGAGACTGATGTTTGTTTAATAGAAAAAGGCAGCATATACAGGGGAAAAATTATAATCCTAAGGTTTTTTTAAGACTATTACAAAGAATAGAGAATAAAAATAGGGAAAGCTGGAAAAAGCAATAAAGTCTATAAACATTAATTCATAACCTGTTTTTTTGAAGTATATGACATTTTTTTTTCCACAAACTCACTAATAGGGTTCTAAATATGAGTGAGAATAGCAAATTGCTTTTTCCATCTCTGGGATCTATAGTTTCACCTCTACAGTTGAATAAAAACATTAACCAAGAGGCAGATACTTATTTCTTTTGTTTATGCTCAGCCTCAGGAATTTTTCAGCTGAAATCAATAATTAAAATGTTTATTAGCCATGGTAAGTGTTATAAATGAAACTTTGTTAACCACAGATTATCTTGGATAATGGAGATATTTATGTCCAGATTTTTTAACCAAGTAACAGAATTTGAGAGGAGAGACAATGTATAACTTCATATTTACTCTGTAGATACTGTATTCACTGAGGAGATTCAAACACTTTGGTATCTTTTCATTTTCTTTACACAACAGAAAGCAGTGGTTGGTTCTTAAGAAACAGATTCACATGGGGTTTATTTCAAGTGTTAAAGAAAGCATGGAGTTTAACATAACAGTTTCTAAAAGATAACAGAATAAATGGTTTTAGAAAGTAGAACTCCTGATGCATCCAGAATACATCTCCAATTAATAAAAAACGCTTAGAATACCTACTTGAGAGGACATATGTAGTTTTATGTGTGCATATTGAGCGAGACAATTTGAGTGTATATTTGAAAAGAGAAAATGAGAGTTTGAGTACATGCTTTGAACAGAAGAGGGATCATGTGCCCGTACACAGTACTCTGCTGTAGAGGGACAGAGGTTCAATAGACCCACACTTCTGTTCCTACTCTTCCCATGGCACTCTGGGCAGGAATAGTTTGATTGATAAGGAATGAAAACATGGTTCATGATTGTTAGGCTCTTGGGATTGTAACACTGAGTACAGTGAAGTAAGCCTAGAGCTTTTGGAAGCTGGAACAGCTTTTTTTAAATATCCACAGAAATATTAGTCTGATGGGATTTTTTTTTTTCAAATTTCCCTTAAGAATTCCATGATATCAGTTATTTTCCTCTTTCTGATTTCTCTGGGTGTCTGTAGCTCTGAAGTGGAGCTGCAGATCCAGCTGGCAAGGTGCTGGCATGGGAGTGCCACTGCTCCAGAAGCTACTGCTGTCCTTTGCTTTCAGCAGCAGTTGCTTGGTGAGAGCCAGTCAAACTCTGCTGGGCTTTTCCTCCCAACCACAGAACCTAATCTGTGAAGCAAAATAGTTCAAAATGCTATGTTGCCCAGTTCCTCTTCTCCTTACACCAGTGGTACTAGCTTGAAGTACTTCGTCCTCACAGGCATCTCTATTTTTCACTCCATAGCTTTTCTAGTAAAATGCTGTAGTTTAATGAACATGTGAAGTGCTTTTCTTTTCTGAATATCTCCTTGAAGAAATGTCTGCTGTGATACCACAAGAAGTCACTTACACACAGAGGTAGCCAGGGTTCTGTGATAGCTAAAATCAAAGGTGGAGATTTTTGTTAAAACCTTTCAGATTATTTTGGAATCACTAAACTGTGAAATAGCTATTTTGTTAGCTTAGAAGTTTTTCTACATGTAACATTTATTCCTCTTCATCATTCCTTGTGTTTGCTTCTCATAGCTATTTGTTGCATCTTGCTTCAGATGAAAGTGCAGACTCTGAATAAGCCTCAAATCTTCTTGCTCACTGACCTAGCACAGTGAAGGCAATGCAACATCCACATCACTGCAAATAGTAATCAGCCCCCTCAAAGAAGGCATAGATAAGCAACACCCTTCTCAGTGTGAACAGTCACCAGGCATAGGTGTGGTTCATACTGTTGTCCAGCATATATCTTAGGAATCATATTCTGTCGACTGTACTTTTAATATGCATTTCTTAGAATAAAGCTATTATCCTGTAAACCAAATTAATGTGTCCACATTTTAAAAGGAAATTATTTATTTGGATTTAAACACTCTGTTTTGTGTTTCCAAGAGTGGAGAAAATTGAGTCTAATAGGAAACCCATTATTATGTATCTGGTGTAATAAGCACTAACAAATTTCTAAAGGCTATCCAGAAGTTGCTGCTATGTACCCTCCATTTTGTTCTCATTTATGGCACTGATAGTACAAACAAAGTCCTTACAACTCCATGAGTGGGCTTCCTCTGAGTTGTGATCAGAGCTGGCCTTTTGTTTGTATTGATACTAACCTGTCAAAGTTTCTCGCTGACAAGGGGCTCCTCCAAGTTTTGTGAAGGACTGGAGGACTGGAAGTCCACTGTACTTCTGCAGTCCAAGGCACTCTGTAGTCATGGAAGAACAAGGTTATGATTTTTGTGTGTTTGTCATTTAGTTGCCAAAACATTTATCCACAATGAAGAAAAAATATTCATACTGTATGGAGGCTATGGGATGAGTGTCATTTAAAATACTTATCCCCTCTTTTTATCTCAGCTGTAAAGAACAGAGTTAGGGTAGCAAAGGGAAGTGCAAGGCTGGTGGACTCAGCTGTATTTTCAGAATACTGGATATATTGCATGCAGCCTGGCATACAAGCAAAAACAAACAGAGAAAAGCAGACACTCTAACTATAATTAATAATTCTCAGCTAAAGGAAAAAAGCATGTCTACAAGATAGGAAGGATACTGAACTCCTGCTCTGCCAGATGGGAAAAAAGATGAGTTTTGAATCTGCCATGGCTTTCCACATTTGGCTTGAAAAGTGCAAAGCTGTGTGAAGCAGCTAGTTTGCCTGTGCCTTCCCAAGCCAGTCTCTTTTGACCCTGCTCAAAAAGGAAATAATTTATTTAAATGAGAATAAGCAAATAGGACCTCAAAAATATGGTCAACCGCCCCTATATGTTAGTCTAACTATATAATAAATATCAGAGGAACTCATTAGGAAAGAAAGTTTTAAGAGGTTTTTTTTCTGCCTTGGTACAAACCCTGAGTGAGAGAAGGTTAATCCTTAACATGGATGCCTAGTCTTGAGATACTATGGTAGGAAGTAGCTCCTTCCAGCCTAATTTAATCTAGATTAGCCCACAGGGACCTCTGTGCCCACAGAGCTGAACATTTCTCATCCAGCACAACTCAGTAGAGGGGGAAGTATTCCACACAGGGCACTGGTCGGGGCTGGGACTTTTCAGTACTACAGTAATACAAATAATCCATTATATTTGGAGGCTTTGAAAGAGGAATGCTTGACTGTATGGAGCAAGTAATGGTGTTTGATGTACCTCCAAGGTGGCAGTCAGTGGGTGAGCCTTGCAAAACTCAGCTGCTTCTCTCAGCAAGTTTCCGCCTTGTAAACAGTGCCTTTGTTTTCTGTCTATGTGGGCTCTGATGCCTTAGGTTCCCTTTGATGTATGAATGAATCCGGTGCTTCACAACAAAACTCAAACTAGACCTGGAAAAGCACAGAGGGAGAGAAGAAAGAAGGGAAAGGGAAAAATAGTTTTAAATATCCACATTACTAAAGCTGGTGAAATGATGTGTGTACTGACAGGATGATTGTGTATTTGCTCTTTGTGGCCATTTGGGGCAGTTGAGGCTTGTGGATGTACTTGAGGTTGCATGAGTGGTTTTCTGTTTGCTGGCACCTATGTGTATGTAAGGAGTTCAGAGACAGAATTTGTTTACTCAAAGCATCTGTCAAATCACTTAATGCAGCAACTAATTCAGGTGAAAAGAGTAACCTGGTCTTGGACAAACTGCAAGCAGACAAATGGGCCAAAAACCAGGCTGCTGTGGCTTGTGTATGGGAGAAACAACCTGTCCTCTCTCGATGGGGCAGAAGGATGCTTCTTTCTTTGCACCTGTTCGTCCCATGGCTCTTGATCTCTAAGGATCATTTAACTGTCTGGTTATTCCATACAGAAATGGAAAAGAGGGGATTTGCCCTGTCTTGCTATTGCATGTCTGTCTGTGTGAGGGAGATGAGGCTCTTCCCCATGTTCAGAGTCTGCCACACAGGACAGCATGCAGGACAAGCTGACCTTCTCCTTTACATCTCAGAGCTATGAAACAGAGCCCAGCTACACTGGCCCTCAGTTTGTCTAATACAGTTGTGTACTATAAATGGATCAGCCAGTTGTGACTGGAACCACAATCCTCAAAAAACCTTTCGACAAATCTGGTTTGAGTTTCAAGTTGCAGTGAAATATGAGACGAGGTGGGTTTTATATGGTTTCAGGTTTTGTTGAAAACCTTTCAACTAGTCCTAGTCAGTAGCTGTTGCTTTTTCAGTTCCCTCCTTCTAACATGTCTGTGGTATTTCTAGTTGAATGTACCTCAGAATAAGCACAGTTAGGAGAAGGGGTAGAAATACAGCCCCTAAATTTGACTCAACTCAGAGGGAACTGAGAAAGAGTGAGGAGGATGCCCTTTCCTTATTAAATTCCTCTTTTGGTCTAGTGGAACTTTACCAAAACTTCATTTTTGTACGGAGATTTTTGGACTGCTTAGCTAGCTGTGATAATAGCACTATAGATCACCTCCTAACTGGCTGGGGCAAGTGGAAAAGGAGCCCTGCAGACTCTGTTTGGCAGGTGGACAGGAGACCTGGAGAAGCAGTCAGATTCCCAGCTGGCTCATGGCGCTCACAGCCGGGAAAGCAGTCTGCATGCTGCCTGCCACGGAGCTGGGAGGCGAGGAGGGGCTCGGCTTCCCAGCTGGCAAGGGGAGCACAGGCCTGGAGAAGTGGGCTGCTTTCTGTTTGGCTTCGCAGGTTGAGCGAGAGGCCAAGAAATGAGGTTCAGTTCCCATTAGCCTGTCTGGTTCTTGATTTGCTTCCTTTAGTTAAAAGAGGCAGAGAATACTGATGATGTTTTGCCAGGCACAGGATTGAAGCTGAGTGGCATGGAAGAATAGAGACTTAAATAAGCACAGCTCGCTGTCTCCACTTGCTTTTGTCAGTCCGTGTAACAACCTTGCTGCCAGCAACCTTCCTTGCAAAACAGAGGAAAAACCCGGGGTCACTGGGAGGTGATTGTGCAGTTCTACGTGTGGTACTTAAGGTTGTTTTAAATTATTACAGAACCATTTATATTGTTAACCTAAACAGTGTATTGATGGTTTAAATATTTAGGAAAAGATTAGTATTTAGTGATTCCTTCCCAGGTATATTGGAAAATATATTTAATAGTTCATCTGTTAAAAGGTTGTTTAAATACATCATGAGTATTTTACATGCAGACAATTGAAGTTTCATCTCCTCTGAAAACATATTTTTAGTATATTAGTTCTTTTTAATATACAGTACTTAGGAGAAAGACAACAATAGATCTTCTGTTGATATGTGGCTAGCACCATTGTAAAACCTGATTTTTAATTTTTTCCCCTCATTGCCTTTAGTTATTCCTTTGGAATTTGTGATCTGTTTTTTAAAAATCAGTGCTGATTTCTGTGCCAGTCTTCACTGGAGTTTGTAATAACATACTGTAATTTAGGCAGCTCTGTGAGGTCCCATGTGTAAAGTTATCTGTGTAGCGCCTGCATGATCAGAATCCAAGGCAGCCCCATTTTCACTGAGTGCAAGATATTAACATTTTAAAATTACTTCAGATCCACAATTCAGTCGAAGCCAGCAGAACCTGGACTTCAGGGCTCCCTGCACTGCAGGTAGTAGCACATCTGTTCCCTCACTTGTAACATAGTGCTAATAGCCAGGGCTCTGGCAGCACATACTTCAGCTGAGAAGCACCCAAAGCCTTTGGACGGTATGAGCAGCCTGGGCTGAAGTCTGAGCTGGTACAGCTTCCCCTCTTGGTGGACGAGTTGGACAGTGAGTATCATCCAGTGCATTCACAGGCGCAGCTTTGCATATGCACCTGGTGCAGCGTAGAGACAGCATGAGTTGCTTTGGAGTTTTTACTACAGATTTTGCTTGTAACATCCGTACCTGTACATAGCCAGTGCTCTTTTTTTATTTGAATGCCCTCTATAGTCAGCATACTTTGAAACTCGTCTCCCACTCTCCTCACATCACAGCCAAATCCAGAGCCATGAATTACCTCACAGATACAGTGACTTAGTGGGGCATTCCTAGTCTATCAGCACATCTTGAGAATTGTGTGTAACTAAGGATGTCTCCAGGGTGCAACACAGGGTTCCATGGAAGTGTGCTAGGGTACACAGATAACTTTACACATGGGACTTCGCAGTTCAGGTACTGCAAGCAGTATGACCAGCTTTCTCTGGCAGTCCCTCTGGATTCATTATTTCATGTTGTTACTAATCTGTGGGTCCTGAGTGGGCTACCAGGCCCTCATCTTGGGGGATGGATCACTGGTGAGAAGCTCTGAATCTGTTCATCAAACCCTAGTGTCTTGAAGCAGTTTATCAAGGAAAGCTGCTCAACCAGGTAGTACCTTCTGAGCTATGGAGGGGTATTGCAGAGTGCTCCAAACATAGCACTGTACTTGGCTAAGCAGAAACAACAGAAGGGTAATGTACTCATGACTAAGTTATGAGTAGAAGGCCCAGTAATGAGGGTAAGCTACACTCCAAAACAGGCACTCTCGAGCCTTCACTGACCCTCATCAGTGTGTTTTTATTGAAACACTCAACATCCATGAGGTACACAAGCAACCTGCACTTTGAAAGCACTTGAAAACCTTTTTTCAGGAAGTCAGCTCCAATGACATTAGAGGAGAGAAGAATGCATTACCCTGCGTTCACTCCACTGGGAACCAGTGTCCTTGCAACACAAACACAGAGCAAGAGATTCCAGGGGAATTTATTCACCAGGTTCACGCCTTGTACCCCAAGCTGGACTCCCCCATTCCCTTGGGGAAAATGGGTTTGTAAAGCTCAGCACATTCTCAGTGCTGAGAGAAGCTCAGCACATTCTCAGTGCACAGCTCACTCGCATAAGGAAACATGTATTTGACCTGTCTTTACTGTCACAAAATTCCACTTTTTCCATAATCACTTTTAATCATAGTACTTGTAAGTTGCTTCATTTTACTTTTTTTAATAACAGTTGATTGCCACGTTATATAGGCAATAACCTATAAACTGGAATTGCTTTGCACTCATAAAGGCTTAAAATAGCAAGTCTAATTTGTTTATTAAAAAGTGATAAAAAAAAGACAATGCCCCATGCTGAGACTTTGTAAACCACCTTTCATTCTGTAGTACATCTTTATGGCTGTGTTATAAACCCCTCGCAAATGGGTTTTGTAGTAAAAGTGCTGACACAACTTTAACTATAGAATCTTGAACAGCAGCAATGCAATAAAAGATCAAACTGTAATGCTACAGTAAAAAGAAAGAATCATGATATGCAAAAAAAAAAAGTTTGTAGGAGTAATGGAACCTGATACTAAGATACTAAATATGGACAAAAGAAATAATCTGCCAAGGTTTTAAACCAGTCCTTGGAACATTTATGATTTGAGTTTTGGGCTGTTGGTATGTATTCATTGGGTCCAGAGAACTGCTAAAGCTCAGCTCACTCTAGTGGGCTTCTGTTGCCCCATTCTGGCATGGACCGTGCATGAACAGCAGTGGGTTTGCACTGAGGAATCAGTAAACTGGTGACCTGAGAGAATTGTGCTTCTGGAAGGGGTCTTTAGTGAAACAAGTCAGGTGTAAGATGTTCCTGCAGCAACACAAGCTGGTTGCTGTCCATCCGTGTTCTCGACAGCAGCTAAACCAGCGTCCAAGTCAATAGCAGTTGTTTGTGTTATAAGAGAATCCTTCTGGGGTACCATATGCCAAACAAATTTTTACTATTGCTTCTTCTTTGTTATATTAAAGGTCTGTGAATTAGTGAGATTGATGAGGAAAATGATGAGTTTAGCCAAAGAAAGTTACATAGTAACTGTGCATTGTAATGGAAATGGCTGGGGGGCACCTTTGGAAGGGTTCTGACTATGTCAAGTCACTTTGTTGTTGTTCAGCTTGGATGTACCTGTAACATAGTTTACCTCACGCAACTGAAAATCAATTTGTTCTCTCAATTCTAAGCTACCTCTCAAATTAAGCCCTATAAAACATTTCAAATAGAACAAAGAAAGCTGGCTGATATAATATTTCATCTTCTGAAATAAGGGTTTGTCAAAGCCAGTCACATTACATGTGGCCAAGGAGAACACTACTCATTTGAAAGGCTATTGAGAATCTGAGAGCTCATAAGTTCAAGTCCATCTGCTGCAGACTTCATGCACTACTAGCTATTACAGTAGCTTGACAATAATCTCGGCATCATCTTTTATTCCAGTCACAAAGGGCTGTCAGAAACCAAATAGTAAGAATTACTATAAACAGCAATGATTCAGTCTCAATGGCAATGGCTCTCTATATCCTAGCAATGTAATCTACTGCTCTACCCTTAAATTGGATATAGCATATGAAGTCCGTCAGCCATGCAGAAAGTGAAAATGTATATTGTCAAGGCCTTTGCTGTCTGCAAAACTGCTGATGAAGAGTCACAAAAGGAGTTTTAAATGCCCTAGAAGAAATTCCAAGTAACATTAAAGTCACAAATAGCAAATTTGACAACTCCCTCTGGACTAAGAAAGTGCCTTCAAAAGTTTTATATTAGCTTCATGCATCATTGTTATAATTTATTAATGTACAGTTTTTAGTTTTTCAGACTGCATGGCTGGGGAATAGTAACTGTAACTTCTTTTTCATGATAAACAGCTGTTGAAAGATTTGCCAATATTCCCTCCTCTTATAATTCAAAAATGCATGCATTGCTTTTCATATTCCTGTTTCCCCAAAAGCATAATAAGATACTATATTTATGATTTAATCGATGAAACCTGTTCTCTGTAGATATTACTACACTGTTTAGTTTGCTAACGTGCATATTTGCACCTAATCTATTAAAAATCAAATATCATGGCTGCATTAGGGCATACACTGGGTAAAAGCCATCTTTAACACTTTGGCTCTTTCAGTATTCAGTAATTCTCTAGCAATTCCTATTCATCTTTGATTACAATCTCACAAGCTTGGGAGAAAGAAACAAAATTGATAGGCAGTAAAAATACAGAATTTTGAAAAGGTCACCTCCTAGCAGGATTAAAACTTTGAATCCACCTGCTCATTATAAGGAATGTACCAAACATGAAATGACATAACTGGAATCTGTTCTTCCAGCAGTGGTTGGTTTGTATGACTGCCAAATGCCATATACCATTCTAATGGCAGTCTGTGTGCAGAGGAATTTCTGCCCTGGCTGGGTATTGAATTTACCAACAGCTGATGCATGTGCTGTTCTAAGGAAGGACATTTTAGGTTGTCCAGCCTGTGTAGCTGCTGAAATTTGCCATGCAGGTCTGTTCCTCCCAGCTATAAGTGTCTGTCTTGATGTTGTGCATCTGAGTTTCTCCATGACACATATGGCACTATCTTCAGTGCCTGGAGGTGTATAGTGTGTGCGTGAACTTTTGTTCATCTCTGAGTAGCAAGACAACCAAAAGACCATGGTGTTTTTTCTATGAAATGTATTTTAATTATAGGATCCTTAATTTAACCATACAACAAACTCAGTTCTGGAGATATTTGCTACGTTTCTTCAAAAGGAAAGTGTTTCTCAGTTAGAGGCCTGACTGAAGTACTTTAGATGTTCATTAAATGAAATTATCTTCTTAATATTTATTATTGTCAAATTTTTCATTCGATCTTAAGCAACTCTCGGGGTAGATTCAGGCAAGGGGAAAATCTACAGTTTTCTATTAAATTCCAACCAGAGTATTGCAAAGGTGAGATAGTGCATGTGACAGACTATTCCCACTAAACTCAATGACAAATTCTTGATTTTTTTTTTCATCTTTTGTGTACCAGTTATTATGAACAATCTGGTTTTTGGTAATAGTTATTTGAAATCCTTATCTCTGTTCCTGAAATAGAGTACTGTAACTGGCAATAGTTGATCCATGGTACAGTGTGATTTAGTTACTGATACAGAAATGTAACACTTTTCTGCTTCCTTGCATCACTGCACATAACACTTTCTGCTTCCTCTTGTGCCTCCCTCAAGAATGGATTCCTGTTGTATTCTTGCAACCCTTTACTTGTGTAAGGAAATTCAGGAGACAGCCCTGAGGATTCTGCATTACAAACACTGTTGTTTGTATACAAGCTCACATTGCCTTTAAAGGTGGAGTGAGATTCAACTGTATCAGAGAAGTGCTAGAGAAGAGGGCTTCAAAAGATAATTGAAGGAGAAATCGAGTCACTGCATAAGGAAATATGTAGTGGGATTGTCTGTAAAATATGGAGAGAGTGACAGATATTTTCCATTATTTATGGTCTTGTTTTTAAATACTTTTCATTTCATGACATCATTACAAAAAATGAAAGGGTGGAACAACCTCCAGTTTTTAGGCTTTGACACTAAGTTGTTGTTCTGTAAAAGCAGTTAACTAATATTCCTATCCCCTGGCCGTTACAGCACATATCATTACACTGATACTGGAGAACAAAGATAGAATTCATTTTGGCTTCTCTTCTACCCTAAATGAAACCATTCTAAATGTTTCAAAATGTTTGCCCAGTACCTTAGATCAGCACAGTAACCACAGCTATCTTAACAACTACCCAGGGACAGATAAACTAATGACACAAGCAAATGTTTGCTGTGTAGACATTTAGGCAATGGTACAAGTAAGTTATGATAAAATAAAGTAATATTATATTTTGTTTTCATGGCACTGGCCTCAGGAATTGCTGTGTACCCTCCAACCTCTATCTGCTCACTCACCCTAGTGCATCAGGCTCTACTCATTTGGAGTATACAGTCAA